TTCTTGAGCATCATTACTAGGATAAGAACAAGGATCCAGATACCATTTATATTTGGACCCAAGAGTTTGGTTTGGGAAAGAGATCAGGCTTCTGGCTCCCAGAAACAGAGATACAGGTGGTGTCTGGAATCAACAAGGCCTGACTCTCAATTCTTTAAAGCCTGACCCTCCACTGCAGAACCTCTACCCTCTACAAGGACTAAAGTGTAGAATGCAGTCAATCACATGAGTAAAAGCAAAGGCTTTGGAGAGAGAAAGCCTTGTGTTTGAGTCTTGGCTCCTTTAACTACATGGTTTTAGGCAAATTATTTAACAATCCTGAGCCTCAATTTCATCATGTGCAAAACAGGGATAAGAATATCTTCATTACAGGGCTGTAAGAATAAAATGAGATCACGCATGCCAAATGCTGAGCCCAGTGATCAACATGGAATAAGTGCTCAACGGATGGCAGCTATTATTAGAATTAATTAAGCAAAGAGAATCTCAGAGGACAATAGTCAATCAGGGCAGGGTTTTCTTGGCTGGACATAGATAGATAACTGAAGTTCTGCCCTACAAGGGCTTAGTTCAAGCAAGGTAGGGTCAACATCCTTGCCTGGGGGAGGAAGTGTCTTAGAAGCTGTGTCTTCCGGCATTTATGCCATCGGAGGGCACTGAGCCTGGCAGGGGAAGGTGATTCTGACCTTTCTGATAGCACTTGCCCGTACAACCTGTTTCCAGATTCTTTTTTGTTTGTTTGAGATGGTGTCTCGCTCTGTTACCCAGGCTGGAGTGCAGTGGCGCCATCTCGGCTCACTGCAACCTCCGCCTCCTGGGTTCAAGTGATCCTCCTGTCTCAGCCCCCTGAGTAGCTGGGATTACAGACACACACCACCATGCCTGGCTAATTTTTGTATTTTCAGTAGCGACAGGGTTTCACCATATTGGTCAGGCTGGTCTTGAACTGCTGAAGTCAGGTGATCCACCCTCCTCAGCCTCCCAAAGTGCTGGGATTACAGGCATCAGCCACTGCATCCAACCTGTCTCCAGATACTTAAGCGACAAACCTCAGCAAGAAGGAATAGAGCTGGAATCTCATCTATGATGCTCCCTAGATATGCCCATTGTTGAGGGAGGTGTCCTTTGGCAAAACAAACAAACAAAACCAAACAACAAAAAAAAACAGAGAAAGGGCTGCTTGGTTTTTTTTTTTTTTTTTTTTTTTTTTTTTTTTTGCCAGTTTCACTGCTTCCCTTCAGTCGCCCCTCATGTGTTTTACTGCCAGACTAACTGATCTGGAATACTGTTTTCTTCCCTGTCAACACCATGCGCGAAAATTTGCAGTGTTCTCTATCGTCTATGACCATCCACAAGTCGCTTAACCTCTGAAGACCTCAATTTTCTCATTTTGTAGAGAAAAGCGGCAGACTGGAAGGTTACAGCTGAAGTTCTATGTGTGATTCTGTCATTCTAGCAGGTCAAGACCAAATTTCCCATGCTTCCACTAAAGGCACCCTGTAATCCTGCTCATTCCATTGATCCAGCTTTACATCCCACAGTCCTGGACCCAGAACCTTCCCATCCAGCTCACTTCTCTGATCTTAGATACCCTCTTGTACCCATTTCGGTGCACTGTCTTATTCTTTTCTCTCTATTGGGGATGTCTGCTTTCTCTGTAAGAGAAGCTTTGGTACTAGAATAGTAGAGTGATTAAGAGTGGAGGCTTTGAGATAAATAAACATGGTTTCCAGTTTCTGCTTTACAACTTACTATCTGGGTCATCTTAGGAAAATCTCTGAGCTTCAGTGCTTGCAATGATAAAATAGAGACAATGACAAATATAAGGTTAGGGGTAGTCATTGAGATAATGTATGCAGTGGGTAGAGCACAGTGCTTGGAATATAGTAGGTGCTCAGTAAATGGCAATGATTATTGCAGTTAGTACAAAATCCTCTCCGGTCTTCTCTGCTTCTCCAAATCCTGCCCAGTGTGGACCCAGATCAAGCTATATTTTTACCCTGAAGATTTCTCTGTCCCCGGAAGCTCATGGTGGTGATCCCTTTCTGAGTTCTTATAGCTCTTGGTCCTAGTGCCTAGCTAGGTGCCTCATTAGATTCTGCCTTGCAATGCAATAACTTCACGTGTGTGCCTGCAGCAGCTTGCCTTAAGTCCTTAGAGAAGAGAGACCATGGTTTTCATCTTCACTAGCTCCCAGGATACTGATATAAATTTGGAGATACTTAATAATTCCTTTTGAATTGAAGCCTTCAAATACCATATCCATGTTATCAATTGCCCAATTCCTAGATTCACACTGATATTTACAAAGCCCTGAGTGTCGTTGCATTGGTGAGGAAGACCTACCCAGAATCATTATTGAAGGTGGTCCATGCATTGCCACAGACCTTTTAAAAACCTGGGAACTAAAACTATAAAAGTCTTAGAAGACAACATAGGAGAAAAGCTTCATGACACTGGATTTAGCAAGATTTCTTGGATATGACACTAAAGACACAGGCAACAAAATTGGACTACATCAAAATTTAAAACTTTGATGCATCAAAAGACACTATCAACTGAGTGAAAGGGCAACTCACGGAATGAAAGGATATATTTACAAATCATATACCTGATAAGAGATTAAGATCTAGAATACACAGGCTGGGCACTGTGGCTCATGCCTATAATCCCAGCACTTTGGGAGGCCAAGGTGGGTGGATCGCCTGAGGTCAGGAGTTTGAGACCAGCCTGGCCAACAGGATGAAACCCCCGTCTCTACAAAGAAAAAAAAAAAAAAAAAAAAAAAAATTGGCTGGGCATGATAGTGTGTGTCTGTAATTGTAGATACTCAGGAGGCTGAGGCAGGAGAATCACTTGAGCCCAGGAAGGGAGGCAGAGGTTGCAGAGAGCTGAGATCGAGCCACTGCCTGGGCAACAGAGCCAAGATCGCGCCTCCAGCCTGGGTGACAGAGTGAGACAGGCTCTGTCTGGATTTAAACAATCCAGTTTCAAAATGGACAAAGAACTTGAATATCCATTTCTCCAAAGAAGGCATACAAATGACCAATAAGCACATGAAAACATGTTCTACATCATTAGTCATTAGAGATGCAAATCAAAACCACAGTGAGATGCTACTTCATACCCATTAGGATGGCTGATGCACAAGTGCTAACAAGTATTGGTGAGGATCTGGAGGGTTTGTGGCACTTGTACATTGCTGGTGGGAATGTAAAATGGTGCAGCCATTACTGAAAACAGTATAGCACTTCCTCAAAAAATTAAAAGCAGAATTACTATGTGATCTAGCAATTCCATTCCGGACATACACCCAAAAGGATTGAAAACAGCAACTCAAACAAATATTTGTACACTCATGTTCATAGCAGTATTATTCACAATAGTCAAAAGGTGGAAGCAAACAAGTGTCTATCAACAGATGGATTTTTAAAGTGATATATACACACTCATATATATACACATTATATATAATATATATGTATATACTATATATCATATACATATATATGTGTGTACCTATATACGTATATTATTCCACCTTAAAGAGGAAGGAAATTCTGACACAAGCTACACCATGAATGAAACTTGAAGACATTAAGTGATATAAGCCAGTCCCAAGAGGACAAAGACTATATAATTCTACTTTTGTGAAGTACTTAAGAGTAAACAAATTCATAGAGGCAGAAAGTCGAATGGTGGTTGCCAGGAGCTAGAGGGAGGGGATCGTTATTGTTTAATGGGTACAACATTTCAGTTGGAAAATGTTAAAAAGTCCTAGAGCTAGATAGTTGTGATGATCACACAACAATATGTGCTTAATGTCACTGCACTGTATACCTGGGAGTGATTAAATGTTACATTTTATGTCTATTTAACCCCCATCTCCCCAAAATAATCTGACAAAAGTTAAAGACCATTCCCTAGGTACATCTCTGCTTCTACTTGCAGAATTATATCTGTTGTTCTAAGGAGCTCGCAATCCTCTCAGGTTCATCTGTGGACCCATGTGACAACCCCAGTGTTATGGTGAAGCCAGTCTCATGGCTCCAAGACATTCTTCAGTTCACCCAAAAGCAATGCCTGCCCACTTAGGCCTTTTTGAACAGTGCGCATCCCTGACTTCTGGATAAACATTTTTGCAGAAGCCCACTTGGCTCCAAGAACAAAAAACAAGGGTGCAGTTTGTTATTATGCAAAGCCACAGCATTCAGGAACTCAACTTTCTTCTAGACAACTACCCTTTTCTCTGAGAATCCAATAGTTAGAGTGTAGCAGGTCCCAGCTCCATTTGGGGTGGTGGTGGTGGAAGGGGGGCTGGTCTCAGAGCATCTTGAATACCTGCTTAGGCCAGAGCCCCTTTCCAAAGGCTCTGGGGCTGCTGTGGGCCTGCTGACTCCTCTCATGCCTTCAGGCTACAGTGCTTCCCATCACATTGCAGAAGGCCACCTTAGGTCATATCTCGCAAAGGAAGAGCTATTAACAAATATTCCATTTGTATTTCCTGCATGGCCCTCCATCTGGAAATACCTTTTATCTGGTAACTTTTGCAAAATGAACCAAATCTTGAAGGAGGTCTTGGCAGGTTTATGCTAGCCTCTCTATCACTCCAATAAGTCATTTCCACCCTCACCTTCACACGGGTCAAGCAACTGTGAACTGGGATGGCATGGAATGGCAGTGAGTCTTCTGGGCCCCGAGGCATCTTTTTAACCCTGAAAACCCCCCACTTGGAGGGCAAGAGCCACGTCTAAAAAATTATTATACACACTCTCTCTTAGCTCAGATATGCATGCTTTCACTCCGAGTTCAGATCACAATTTATAGTTCTACATTTTGTCATTGTTAAATGCAGTCTGGCTTCCCCAAAGACTGCAAGCTCATTCTGCCCAGGATTAAATCCAAGAGCCTTCTTAGCCCAGTTTCTGGCATGCAGTAAGCATGCAATAATTATTTATGGAAGGAAGGAATGAATGAACAAATGAATTAATTAAACTCACCTTACCTGCCTCTCCACTAGTTACTTCAAGCCCAGGTTGAAAAATATCTTCTTTTCAGAGTGGTTGTTATTGAAAGAAAATGAGAGGAACCCTCTGATTTAGACAGCTAGAAGGAGAAAGGAGAAAAGAGAGAATAAAAAAAAGAATTCTTATCTTCAGTTAGAGAAATGTTTCCACAGGTCCTTGATAAACTAGGGAAAAGGACCCCCGGGGCTTTCTTATAGCAGGCGGGTGTCCTTGATAGTGTGGCGGGCGGGGCAGGCGGAACTTCGGCATCAGGGCTCAGGGATGGATTCTAACGGTTTCTTTGCTGGTTGAAGAGGCTGCTTCCTGCCAACTTTTTTTTTCTTCTTCTTCTTCTTCTTCTTCACGTACCAGCCCAGCTTGTACATGTGAAGGAGTCAGCCCTTTTCCAAACGAACAGGGCTGGTGTATCAGCTGGCCTTGCAGTTGGATGCGCCTGCTGGTCTGCGAAAGCGGCTGTCAGTGTCTGTGTGTCTCATGCTTTGCAGATCTCCCATTCCTCTGAGTCTCGGAAATCCTCCATGAGTGTAAAAGGGCAGGTAGCCTGGTTCCCATTTGATAGGAGAGGAAATTAGGCCAAAGCCCTTGCAAATCTTAAACAAGCCTAAACCACAGAGCCACACGACCCTTATTCCTTACGCTCAGGCGTTCTTCCTCACAGGAAGGTCTTTTGAGAATTCATTTTTCAAGAGGAAGAGCTTCATGAGGCAAAAGCCAACACACAGACACTGTATTACCTAGTGACATTTATTGGATTTGTCTCTCGAGTGGCTCAAACAAAAGATTACTATTATAAATAGATGGACCTAACTGTTGCAAATAATACCTAGCTTTTATTGAGCACTTATTATGTGCCAGGCATTTTATATATTTGATCTTATTCAGTCCTGATAACAACCTCCTGTGATCAGTAGTATTATTCCAATTTTACAGAGAAGGAAACTGAGAGAGAAGTTTCACTAGCTTTCCCAGGGTCATATAGCTGCATAAATGTAGGAGAATTTATGCAATTTAGAATCTATGGAATTTAGACCTACATCTTCTGACTCTCTGCCCTCACCTCATTCACTATGCCAGTGTTTCCCAAATCTCCTACATTTGCATGTTAGCAATACATATTCTTAGGTCCATATCCAATCTCCCAGATCAAGGGAGAACCTCAGAAGGCCTTTCCCTGGATACCTGATCTGGAAAATAGCCTCCTCCCCAGGCACTAACACACTGCGATTCAATTTTCTTCATTCTATTTGTCACTACTTGATATTTTCTTATTCGTGTATTTGCATATTGTCTGTATTCTCCACTAAGGGGTGAGTTCCATAAGGGCAGATACAAGATGTCCACAGTTTTAACTTCTAGAAACTGACCAAGGGGGATGGTACCTAGGAAGTACTCCACACATATTCATTAGATAAGTTGGTAGATACTGTCCAAAGTATGATGTTAAGAAAAATTGTGAGTGTGGACCCAGGTTCTGGAGAGAAGAGGAGAACACTGGTGTGTGTCCTAAGGTTTCAGGATGGGAAAATGTTGGCACGTATGCCATGTATTTGCATCCCAGGGAAATCAACTCAGTCCCCCCAAAGTTAAGAGGAAGATGACACAGCAAGTCAGTAGAGAGGCAGGTAAAATACAATCACTTCTTTCCAAGACCTTTTTATCTTATTTGGAAGTCAAAATGAACACATTTGTAATGGAGAACAAATACACAGTCAATAGTGAGGTGCTGACCAAAACTGCAATCAGATTGGAGTAGGGAGAGATCAGCGTGGACATCAGCATGGAAGGCTTTCTGGAGGAAGCAGAAATTGAGTTGCCCCTTGGTGAGCAATTACCTGGAAACTTCCTTGTTGTCGGGCTCGTACTATGAGCTTTACATAGAATGTTTTCCTAGGTCCTTGCAATACCCTAATGAAGTAAGTATTGCAATCATAATTTTACGGGTGATAAAACTGAGGTGCAGAAAAGCTACAGAACTTCCTCCAGCTCACAGAGTTACTGAGGCCTGAGTAGGAATTAATAGCCAGTGATTTCAATGATGGTTTTCTTAAGCAGAGCAGGTGTGTCTGTTAGGAAATAGCCCAAGTAAGGGTCTGGGTGTGGGGTCAGTTGGAGGAGTTGGAGGTGCAGTTGGTTGGTAGTAATGAAGTCAATTGGTTGCAGAATTGGGCCATGACAATATTCCAGTGAAAGGAACCAGATCTGCTGGTCTCACCCATTTAAAGGTATTGGAGATCAAAATCACCACACCTGACCTGGTGATCACAGGCAATTCAAAGGTTTATTACTTATGCAGGTATAGGCACTGAATGGAGTCCTTGGGTGAGGGCCCTACTGAGAAGAGGGCTCCCTGACCTCTGGGGAAGAGAGGGAGCCTGGCGCTGGAGACCTAGGTAGATATGGGACAGAAGCCTACCTGTTGAATAATGCCAAGAGGAGGTAGAGAGGGGAGGATTAATTTTGAGTGATCTGTTCTGGCAGGGGTCAGGCTGGGGGCAGTCAATCAAAGAGAGCAAGGGTGAGTTTTCTTGCATGTGACTTACTAGGTGCTACAGAGGTGAGCGGGGCTGAGTGGGTGGTGAGGGGCGGGGTGCCCTGATGGTTTCTGTCCCAGTGGGGAATTGTTTGATCAAATGACATTTTGCTGGGAGCAACTTTTTGCACCCAACTCAATTTCTTCAAAATTCACTCCCTAACATTTGGTTCACCATCTGAAGAGCTAATATACTTGTATGAAGGCTGTGCCAATTATACATAGGAGGGGCAGTATGTAAGTCCACTTGTGGGCAGGAGGGCCTCCTAAAACAAGGTCCCCCCAGGCTACAGGGGACATCCAAGTTCTAGGAAAGTCAGGGGACCACATGTAGAATTTGGTTTCGGTTTGGTGGTACATCTGTTGGGCAATTTGGATTACTTTACCTGCAATATTTATCCACATCCGGTAGGATACACTATGTTCCCTGAGAGTGTTTACTCCTGGGAAGCTAACATATCATCTGGAGCTAGTCTCTTATCTGCCACGCTGGCAGTTAGGGGTTTTTCCTTTCAGTGAAAGCTTCCAGTGCAGCTGTTTTTTGTGTTACGTGGGCTCATAGAACCTAGGACCTTTCTCTGAAGCATCTGCTAGTTTTCCTGGTGTGATGATGTTGTAAGCATATTGTAGTCCCACGCTTCTGGCCCCAGACGTCATGCTTACACCCAGGACAATGGGCAGGAAGATGGCCCATTGCCTCTGACTGGGGACTGCAACCAGCAGGGTTACACTGCAGAGCAGTCAGAAAAATGTTAAGGAGGTTGTCAGCGTTAACAGTGTGCAGGCGAGTTTAGGTAGTTGGGACGTCAGGAGGGAGTGATCTAGGAGTGGAACAGGTGAAGCAGGTTCCTTCTGGGGCTTCCAATCTCTCATGTTCCTTTAACATCTGGGGTGGGCTGTGGCACTGGTTGTGCTATGTAAGCCTAGGAAGACACAAATATAGACATGTATTTATACATTTGGATAGATGCATGATCTGGACTCATAAGCCAGGGACCAGACTTGATAACATCAATCAATGTTCTGATGGTCTGACCCAGCACAGGACAGGGCAAGACCTAGGAGCCTAGACCAGAAGTGTTTGGTGTTGGTGGTTTTGTGGTGCAAATAAGGGAGTGGCCTGCTCATGGGGGCCGATAGGAGGCCCATCATTGCATGAGGTCCAGCCACTGGGATGTGGCTTTATCTATGTGTACATGCAAGTTAGCCCAGAGATAGCTTTAAGCAGTAGAATTGCTTTGGGAGGCCCAGGAAGGGAAGTTCCAGCCACAATGACAATGAGGTTTATTGTACTTAATGGGAAGCAAGTGGGAGGAGAGTTATAATTTTGGTGGCCTGTCTGCTAACCACCCTTTCCAGGTATGTGACAAATGCTGAGTGAGGGATCCCCTAAGGGAAGCTGTTTGTGCTCCAGCAATGGGGTCCCTTGGTAGATGATGTGGGTAACTGATGGGCAGTCTCCTGGATGCAGTGGTTGGCTGGGCTGTGGTCATCACCTGCAATGTGGCCATTGTCTCCCTGGGCCGGTACAACTCTCCAGGTTCAAGCAATTCTCCTGCCTCAGCCTTCCAAGTAGCTGGGATCACAGGTGCCTGCCAACATGCCTAGCTAATGTTTTTGTATTTTAGTAGAGATGGGGTTTCGCCATGTTGGCCAGGCTGGTCTCGAACTTCTGACCTCAGGCGATCTACCCACCTCAGCCTCCCAAAGTGCTGGGATTAGAGGCGTGAGCCACCGCTCCAGACCACAACTCTTAAGTCAGATTTGGGTCATGGAGGTAGAGGCCGACATTTGGAAGGGTGTCACAAAGATGCAGAAAGCAGAAGGGGTGGTCGAGGACACATTTAGAAGGGGCGCTTGAGGGCACCACATGTGCTGGCCTGCCTACTGGGCATCATGACTATGGTAAAGGTAGTTTGTGGAGGAGGTGGGACTAAACAGACAAGACCACGTTTCTATTTGTCCTGGTGGCTGCTCAGGATAATGTGATATTCCTGGCCCATGGTGTTGTAGAAGAGTCACATGTTCCAAACAGATCGGAATGACACTGTGGGTGCAGCACTGACCAGGTGTCCCAGCACTGAGTCGAGAAACTGCATCCCAGGCCACCCGCCATACCAGGCATAGCCAGCTATCAGAACCTAAAGGTTCCACAGTAACATTTTCAGTTTTTAGACCCCATAATAGCATTTAGGGCTGCCCTTTATGATGACAGGGGCATCTGTATCCTACAGCTATGAATAGCTGGCTGTGCTTTGGCATCCATGGTAGGGAATAGACGGCCCGAGGCATGCTGGTTTAGAATACTGATGCTGGGGACCAGAGTCTCTTGTATCTTGCTCCAAGATCCACATGGTCGTAAGTGTCAGTCCAGGTGCCAATACTTCTATCCCCTGTGGAGCAACCTCAACGTTAGCCTTTAAATCCATCACAACTGGTAGATGTGTTAGGGGATGGGAGAGCCTGATTTCCAGGCTGGTAGAAACATGTTGTCAGGGACGTCACTGTTCCATCCATAGCCGGCAGGTCCCACTTATTATTTGTCCTTGGTCTCACACCAATCCTTTGTGAATTGTGCAGAAAGGATAGAGAAATGAATGACTGGAGGAGCTTGGGGCAGGCAATCAGATACGGGAATCCATGAGCTGGAACCTGTATCTCTTGTTAGAACTAGTAGGTATAAAATGAGGGCATTTTGTTGTGGATGAGGGGCCCATGGGGCAAGTATCAAGGGAGATAAGAGTAGTCAAAGAAAACTGGTTTGGAAACCACAAGCCATTCTGTAGCTCTAAGAGATACTCATCATTGTGGAGTTCGCAGTATCCTGGTGGGAGAAGGGAGCCGAGGACAGGCAGGAATACATGTTCACCATGGTTAGGGCATACTGGGGGTTTGGGGAATCTGAGGGAAAGACCCATTACCATCAGTGCTCCATCATGAGGGTGGTCAGTTTCCTCAGTGATTCTGCTGGGCATGACATATTGCACCCAACCATATTTCTCTGTAGGTATTCAATATATTTGGGATAACAGTTGAATATGGGTGGGAAACGTAAATGCAGCTTATTATGGAAGGCCTTAGTTGCTTGTCTCCAAGAATGTGGATTTTTTTTTTTTAAGGGAAGATCTTGCTCTAATTGCCCAGGCTGGAGTGCAGTGGTGCCATTGTGATTCACTGCAGCCTTGACCTTCTGGGTTCAGGATATTCTCCCACCTCAACCTTCCAAGTAGCCGTGTAAGCCACCATGCCTGGCTCAATTTTTTTTTTTAAACAGAGATGGGGTTTTGCCACGTTGCCTAGGCTGATCTCAAACTCCTGGGCTCAAGCCATCTGCCTGCCTCGGACTCCCAAAGTGATGGGATTACATGTGTGTGCCACTGCGCCCGGCCAAGAATGTGGATTTAATAAGCCATTAGTCATGGAAGACTCTTGAACAGGGGAAGGATGTGAGTGGGGTTGGGGTGGGGTGGAGTGGGGTGGGGTGGGGTCAGGTGGGGTGGGTAGAGGCTGGAGGTGAAGCTACTGTGCTAGGAGCTTCACCATCAGTGAAGGGTTGAAGAAAGGAGGTGGGGGCAGTGGGCATCACTGAGTGGGCAGTGACAGAGGGACTCATGTGACTGGCTAAGCCTTGTCTGCAGGAGACAAGGGAGCTCTAGCTAGGCAGCTGCAGGGCCATCTATAGCAGCTGCTGTGCCTGAGCACTTGCCCTATGCCAGATTCGTGCAAGCGCGGTCATATATGATCTCACTCATCCCTCGCGCCGAGGTCATTTGTGGGTTGTGAATGACCAGCCTTATGCTTCTGACACATCCACACAGGCCAGGGGCCATTCTCTGTTCCCCTGCCAGGGGATCCTTTCATAACCTGCATCAGATCATCTCACTCCTCTGCTGGAAGCTCTCCCAAAGTTTCCTTCTTGCCCAGAGTAAAAGCCAAAGCCCTATAAGGCCCTGCATATCTGGAACCAGCCATCTCTGCATCCCCTTCTCCTACATTCCCTTCCTCCTTCCCTCCCTCTGCTTCAGCCACACAGACCCCCCCTCCTTGTCATTCTTCAAACTCTTGCTTTAGGGCCTTTGCTCTTCTCCTCCTCCTGGGAACATTCTTACCCAGATTCGAGTTCTTCTTACTAGAAAGGTTTTCCTTCATCACCTGAGTAAGACACTAATAGCCTGGGCCAGCCCATTCCATCTTCCCTCTCTGTGTTATTTTTCTCCCTAGCACGTATCGCCATCTGGCATACTATATGTGTGCTTGCTTATTTCATTAGTGTCTGTCCCCCGCCTCAAGTTTGCAAGCTCCTTTCAAGCAAGAGCAATGTTTGTTTTGTTGACATCTATGTATCCCCAGTGCCTAGAACAGTCCCTGCTGTGTCTGAGGTGCCCAGTAAACGCTTGCTGAATGGATGAATGATGTATGTATTATCATCCAGATTCAATGAAAGGGAAAACTGTGGCTCAGGAAGAGTCAGCAACTTCTCCAGGCAGGACAGCTAGTAGTTGCCACTGCCAGGGTTCAAGTCTGACTGCAAAGCCTGTGCTGTTTTCATTAGGGTGGAATACTCTTGAGGAGTCTTGGATCTTTGTAATTAAGAAAATGGGTCTTTAATAAACAGAAATGGGGAAACTGAACAGGTTTGGGTAATAGGGGAAAGATGACAAGTTCATTTGAAACTCTGCTCTTCTATGAGTGCAGTGGGACCTCAGAGGCTAAGGAAAGCCATTTGAGCACTTCCTGCGTGCCAGGCGCTGTGCTGGGCACTGAGGATTTAAAAATAAACAAGAGGGCTGGGCACAGTGGCTCAAGCCGGTAATCCTAGCACTTTGGGAGGCTGAGGCAGGTGGATCACAAGGTCAGGAGCTCAAGACCATCCTGGCTAACATGGTGAAACCCCGTCTCTACTAAAAATACAAAAAATCAGGCTGGTATGGTGGCATGCACCTGTAGTCCCAGCTACTAGGGAGGCTGAGGCAGGAGAATCATTTGAACCTGGGAGGTGGAGATTGCAGTGAGCCGAGATTGCACCGCTGCACTAAAGCCTGGGCAATGGAGCCGAATGCCATCTCATAAATAAATAAATAAAAAGCAAGACACCCTCCCCACCCTTGATGAGCTCACCAACTAGGGGTGAAGTGTCCAGGGCACACTCTGAGTTTCTGGTACAGAAGCTAACCATAGCCAGACTAGAACATAGAGATGAGCTCACAGCCAGACTCTCTGGGCCCCATGCAGGCCAGGCAGCAGCCCATCTGACTGTCCTGTGTGTCTGTTCAACAGAATCACTGAGCAGTTCTGTTGTGCCAGACAAAAGCAGTAACGCTAGAGATACAGAAGCAGGTCAGACTAGGGCCCATTCTCAGAAGCTCACAGCAGTGGGCAGGAGGCATCGTTCATTCATGTATTCATTCATTCGTCAGCTAGAAAACCAGTACCCGCCATGTGTCAAACACTCCTAGGCTCTTATTATAAAACAATGAAGAAAAGAGACACCATCCCTACACTCAAGGAACTTGCAACCTAATGGTGATGTAGAGAAAAGGGAACTCTTATACACTGCTGGTGAGAATGTAAATTAGTACAGTCTCTAGGAAAAACAATATGGAGATTTGTCAAAGAAGTAAAATTAGAACTACCATTCGATCCAGCAATCCCATTACTAGGTATTTGTCCAAAGGAAAAGAAATCATTATATCAAAAAGATACCTGCATTGCATGTTTATTGCAGCAGTATTCACAATAGCAAAGATGTGGAGCCAAACTAGGTGGCCATCAATGGATGATTGGATTTAAAACTGTGGTGTATATATACACAATGGAATACTATTCAGCCATAAAAAAGAATGAAATCATGTCTCTTGCAGCCACATGGGTGGAACTGGAAGCTGCTATCTTAAGTAAAACAAGTGAGACACAGAAAGACAAATATCACATTTTTCTCTTATACCTGGGAGCTAAATAACGTGTACACATGGCCATAGGGTGTGGAATAATAGACATTGGAGACTCAGAAGGGTGGGGGGAGGATGATGAGAAATTAATTAATATGTACAATGTGTGTTATTAAGGTGATAGATGCCTTAAAAGCCCTGGCTTCACAACTATGCAATTTACACGTGTCACAAAATCATACTTGTTCCCCACAAATTTATATAAGTTTTTTTTTTTTGTTTTTTTTGAGATGGAGTTTCTCATCACTCAGGCTGGAGTGCAATGGTTCCATCTTGGTTCACTGCAACCTCCACCTCCCAGGTTTAAGCAGTTCTCCTTTCTCAGCCTCCAGGGTAGCTGGGATTACAGGCGTCCGCCACCACACCCAACTAATTTTTGTATTTTTAGTAGAGACAGGGTTTCATCATGTTGGCCAAGCTGGTCTTGAACTCCTGACCTCAGGTGATCCATCTGCCTCCACCTCCCAAAGTTCTGGGATTACAGGTGTGAGCCACCGTGCCCTATACGTTTTTTAAAAAACCTAGAGGTGAATAATTATAATAGGTGACATTATTATTACTCTTATTAACAATGACAATGATGACTGATGATGTTCCATGATTTATTTCCATTATTTCTCACAATGGAATTATACCCTATGGGTACCCCTATATTACTGATGAGGAAACTGAGGCTGCCATCTTTCTAAGGGCTAAAGTGATTTTCAGGGAGCACAAATAAGTGCTTAACTAATTTTACCAAATGAAGTCAGAAAAGGTTTCACAGAAGATTCACCTTTTCAGGGCAACCTAAAGAAGTATGGGTTTTCTTTAAGCAGAAACATTAGGACAAGAACCTGAAATAACATCTGCTTCAAAGGGGATTTATGCAAAGTCAACAAGATACGATGTGTAAAACCCAAGCACAGTACCTGGCACAAAGGAGATACTCCCAAATGTTTGTTCCCCTTCATTGATCCTCTGTGGTGGTAGGAACTTGTAGCCACTTTCCCCACCCGCTCGATTTTTCAAAAACACCCCTTGAAGTTATAACCCCCTTGGGAGCCAAGGCTTCTCCGAAGCACCCCATTATAATCTTTGCCCTCAACTCAGAACTGGAATGTGTTTGAAAATGCGAGAAAGGGCAGCAGCCCCACCTCTTCTTCATTGCCTAAGTTTGTTAGGCAAACACACACACACATGCACACACACTCACACAGTTGCTGGGGAGATGATGGTAAACACAAGCCTCTCTTTTGGAATAGAATAATTGAGTGGTCTCCCTTTGTACAGGAACAAATTAGATGGGTAAATTAGCAGTTCCCGAAGACATTAGCAACCAGCAGCTCACACAGCAAGCGCCTGACTCACCGTGGGGCCCCTCCAAGTCATAGCCTATGAATAGACGCTCTTCCTGCCTCCGAAAGAGAAGCCAGAATGCCCAGAACACCATAGGGGAAGCTTGAAGGCTTGTACCTCTTTGGACTCTTTTTATTTTAAAAGACCGATTTAATTACCACTTATTCTGGCTCTTTGAAGATGAAAAAAGTTCCCTTGCAATCCTCCATTCATCGGAGAATTAATGAAGCCTACCCACCAGCAGATGATGTAATCCTGGTGGCTTCCCCCATCAGATCTAGGCTGCCTGCCCCATGGATGCCTTCTGGGCTAATTGGCTGCTTTGCACCTGTTCCTTCTCGGGAGGCCCTGACACCCTAGCACCTGGTGCCTGTGCCACCTCCTCTCTCTGCCAGGACACCCACAGGCCTTTGTGGATAGCAAAGCCCACTTCATGGCTGAGGGCAGATGGGGGTATTTCCTTCTCAATTCTGCTCAAGGCCAGTTGCTATTCTTTGAGGGTGATGCAAATCCAGAGTTTGGAGGGCTGGGCCTCTCTGTGGCCTGGTTGTCTATCTGATAGTGTGGAGCCTTGGCCCTTACAGTGAGCTCTCTCACACAAGATGTGCTCTGTGTGGAATCCTAGGCCTTCAGGGGATGTCCTCTGAGCTTTGCCAGACAGCAAGCCCTGCATGGCCCAAATCCTAACTCAGACCCTCTTCCTCCTACTCAGAACGTGGACGAGACTTGTGATCCTCAGTTTGGATGAATGCCAAGACACCTTCCAATCCCAAGAAGCCATCTTTGCTTTCTGTTCACACATAGCTCCCTCTCCCTCCTAGGCCTTCCCCCTTTGAACTTCTCCCCTACACCATCAGCCTATATTTACTTCTCCTTCTTGCTTAATGCATTACTGTATTATCCCAGTTAATGGGGTCTGCAGGTTGTATCAGAAAGTTCAGAGGCTCACATGGCTTGGATCAGAACTTGACTCAGCCACTGACTAGCCAGACAAACTCAAGTAAAGTACACAGCCTCTCAGCACCTCAGCAGACTCATTCATAAAAACAGAAACAATGGTACCGGCTTTGCAGGGTTGTTGAGCAGCTTAAATTAGATAACACGAGGAAAGAGCTTTCCCAAGTTCTAATGGTATGTGACACACACACAGTATTGTCTTACCCAGCAATAATTTCAGTGCATGGATCTGATCATCTCTTAATTAAATACTGAATTCTGCTAAGTTGGTTCCTTTTTTGAACCCCTCAGGACCTAAGCAGTTATAAGTGTGCAGAAGTTGGGTCTTTATTAGCTGAATAAAAGCAGACTCCAAGTCTCTTCTCCTTTGTCCTTACCATAAAGCTCATCAGCGGCTTTCCTGGCCCTGCCTCCAACTCTGGGATTTGGGGCCACTACAGGCTCTCCTTACCTTGTCCCCGTCTGAGTCCTGAAGTCCTGGTTTGCAATTTGCTGTTGCCATTTTCTGGAATGGCTGCCTCCCCTTGCACCCCTGCCTGTCAACTGCCTCCCCCACATGCATGTCTGTCTGCTGGGCAAGGCCCTATCCCAAGATGACAGCTCACCGGGCCTCACTCACAAGTCTCTTCCAAGCATTAGCAGCCCACCCCAGTCCAAAGATATCTTTTATGGCTGATCTCTGGCAACACCTCCTACCTTCCAATTAGGAGCCTGTCAAAACCTGGGCCATCACTCTTCCTGCAGCAGCTGACAATACACACGCCTGCTGCGGCTGCTCTGGAAGAGTCAAGCAAAATTATTTCCATGGTGGTGGTGCTGAGCGCAAGAGTTGGAATCTAAGTGAATCCAAATCTAGTTCTGTCTTCTCACTTTACAAGGCAATGTCTATTTCTCTTTGAATCGCAACACCAAGCATCACGCCTGGCACACAGTAGGTACTTATAATGAGCACATGTAAATCAAAAAGGCCAAGGCTACATGGCTAGTTAGCAGATTCCCTTTCTCAATGTCTAACGATATCTAGTTCATTTCTTTCTCTTACATATGCAAATCAGAAAGTTAGCTCATAACTAATCTGTCATGATTTTTTTTTCTTTCCTTTACTTCTGTGGTTGAAAATATGAAAATAAATTTACCCCAGAAAAGAGAGAGAGAAAAAGATTCCTGATCCCTTGGTCTTCCCTCTTCGATCCTCTTGAAATCCCCGGGTCATGGTAAGGCTCTCTGAAATTCAGAGCCGTTTTCAGACACTGGAGCTGATGAGGGAAGTATGACACAATTGAACATTTTTCTTATCTGGCAGTGTGGTCTGGTGGTTAGCATAGGGGCTCTGCCAGTCGGAAGTCTGCCTTTCTATTTCTGGGGCTTACGGGAAACCATGAAGCAACAGTCTTTGCAGCCCACTCACTCTTGCTTTCTCTTTCTCTTGCTCCTGTAAAGAGCCCTCATGGGACCTGCTTACCCACAGCAGTCAGCAGCTCAACCAGGAAAGGAAACTCCCTCCTAGCTCTGCTTCAGCCTTGGGTGAGGCTGTGAAGGCTGGTGGTAAACAGATGAAAGATAATCCAAAGAAATGAAAGTGAGGGTGATGAGTGGGAGAGTGGTTTGGGACAGAGGGTATGAAGATGCTGTGATGACTGACTTAACCACATCAAACTAAACCATGTCTCCTACTACAAATCGTCAGCCTGAAATCGTGAGAGGCTCTCAGGGGCGGAGATTTCGCTGGCTAAGGGGCACCCTGTGTGCCTACAAGAAGAGGTGGGCGGGAAGTTAACCTTGCATCGTCCTTCAGGGAGCAAATCCAAAGTGGGAAAAGGGGGAAGTTCTTCGATCTGAAGTAGAAGGTCAGGGAGAGAGGGAGAGAGACCCAGAACGGCAACAAATTTGATGAAATCAGAGAGGGACAAAATGAAGAAAAGCGTATTAAGATCAGATCTTCTGAAGGGCAGAGAGCTATACTGACACACTTGCTTTATTGCTGGACCTAGGACAGTTTATACGGCAGCTTCAGAAAGGCCTCCTGAGGGGTTATCTGTGTCAGCTCAGCCCAGCATCGATAGAAACATGAATCTCTGAGGAATTCTCTTGCGCCTCAGACTTCAAAGTACATAGAGATTTGAACAGCCTTGAAATCGATAGGAAACTTTCAGCATTTGATCAGTTGAATTATCCTACTATAACTCTGCAAGTTCTTGAGCCATATCTAGAGAGAACAAGGCAAGTTAGGGAAAACTCATCATTTAACATGCTGTTTCCTTCCTCATTTCTGCCCCACTGATCTTTAGGTCTCAGTTCCTGCTACTGTAGTCGTTTTCGCAACCAGGAAGCTGTGAGACCTTCGGGTTATCTTTAGAGTGAGACCCTCTAGAAGCTTTTAGGCCGAGCCTTGGCCGTGGGCTATTGCTTTGGAGTTGTGAGAATTTCCTCTCTGCAAAGGAGGTTCAAACGCTGTTTTCCCAGCTAATTGTATATGCATTATGCAGATTGTCAGACTATGGTCAGAATATGGTGTTTTACAGGGTCCCAGTGTTAAAATCACGGCAAAGTCAAGTTGACATTATGTGATCTAAGGTGCTTTAAACAGTTTCTCTGCAGGAGGCAATGCTAAGAGAAGGATACTACTTTTTTTTTTTTTTTTTTTTAAGAGTCTCGCTCTGTCACCCAGGCTGGAGTGCAGTGGTGTGATCTTGACTCACTGCAACCTCTGCCTCCTGGGTTCAAGTGAATCTCCTGCCTCAGCCTCCCAAGTAGCTAGGATTACAGGTGCCCACCACCATACCTTGCTAATTTTTGTATTTTTAGTAGAGACAGGGTTTATCCATGTTGGCCAGGCTGGTCTCGAACTCCTGACCTCAAGTGATCCTCCTGCCTCAGCCTCCCAAAGTGCTGGGATTACAGGTGTGAGCCACGATGCCCTGCCAGGACACTAGCTTTGAGAGACAGGATAGCTTTGTGATGAGAAAAATCTGGGTTTGAATTCTGTTTGGCTCTTGCTCAGGCAAGCCACTTACTCTCTCCTCTACTTTTTATCTGCAATGAGGGTTACAAAACCCTCTTAAGGCTGTTGTGAGAATTTAATCAGATATACAATTAGTATAATCTCTGGCACATAGCAAGTTGTAATTTATTGCCCCTCTGTCCCAAACTGCATGTAGAGACTTAATTTTTAAATATTAAAAAAGAAGTTTTCACTGGGTTTCCAGCCTGTTGATGTTTATGGAGAGAAAGCTTTCAATGACAAAGGCTATCAAAGTGACAGAGCTGATTTCAGGACAGCGACAAAGGCTAATGGCCTGCTCTTAAGTGGAGCTCAGTAAATGTTAAACGGGGGCCCTGCCTACTCTACCAGACAGCAGCAAAGTGCTTGTCTCATTTTCTTTCCAACATCTTACCTTCCTTGTGTAACAGACAAGGTAGCTTAAGCTGGGTCTAGACACGTCTGAACCAGTCTGGAAGACTAATGGGACAACCTCCCATCCCAGACCTAATTACTTGCAGGATCAAGGAGCATCTCAGAGAACAACTTGTTCCATGGTGGAGCAAAGTTGAAGGGGCATTTGTTTTATTCAAGAACAACAGGAAAGAGCAGAGGGAAAACAGCTCTCGGACCCCCAGTAGAGTCCTGGAGCAAGAGAGCTATGATAAGAGAAAGTGTGAAAATTGAATCAAAGGCTTTTCACTGAGATATCTAGGGACCAGCAAGACACAAAGCTCTGGGGCCAGCTGCTTGGCTGTGAATGAAAGTGATGGCACTGGTGGTTTCAGAAGATGATGCCCTAAGGGCCAGTTTCGGTTACTTTGGTTTGAGCAGCATCACTCAATTTTGAGGTCATTCACACACATTCACTCATTCATTCATTCATTCATTCATCTAACACATTTCTTGACTGTCTATTATGTGCCAGGTGGGGCATCAATGCTTTCTGTGTAGAAAATCAGTATCTTTGATACATGTAAATCCACAAAAAACATGCCTGGGGATTTGCTTCTAAAACTATTCGTAGAGGAGCAGGGAAATGATGGATCTAGAGCCCTCATAGTGCAGGAGCCAGGGAAACCCACCAAATCCTGCCTGGTTACTACCTTTGCGACCCTGTTTTTTAATTTCTTTTTTTTTTTTAGAGATGGAGTCTCCCTCTGTCACCCAGGCTGGAGTGCAATGGCATGATCTTGGCTCACTGCAACCTCTGCCTCCCAGGTTCTAGCAATTTTCCTGCCTCAGGCTCCCAAGTCACTGGGACTATAGGTGCACACCGCCATGCCCAGCTAATTTTTTTGTATTTTCGTAGAGATGGGGTTTCACCGTGTTGCCCAGGCTGGTCTCAAACTACTGAACTCAGGCAGTCTACCCGCCTTGGCCTTCCAAAGTGCTAGGATTACAGGCGTGAGCCACTGCCCCCAGCCTCTGCCACCCTGTTTTTATCTGAAGGCTTGTGTGTTTTGGGACCTGTGATGCTCATCTGTAAAATGAATTGGCTCAACTGCGTGATCTCTAAGATCTATATTTTATTTAAACCTCTACAGAGGGAAACTCTAAGTCCTCATAATAAGCAATAATGAATCATGAACTAGACATTTTGAAAGCAGCATATATTACTTTGTGATCCAGCTTGACTGCTTAAATTATCAGCATCCAAAATGATTCCCATCCCCCATTCCTTCCCTTCACCCTCTCTTTCATGGGATCAGGCACGATGTTGCCTCAGCCCCTTCTACCGTCTAGATTTACAGGCCCAGAAATGTTCACTAATTTGGATTTCAAAGTGAATTCTTCCATCTCTTAAGTAAAGGTAAATAATTTTAAAAAATTTTTAATTTTTTTTAAAATTAAAAAAAAATTACAGAGTCTTACCTGTCACCCACACTGGAGTGCAGTGGTGCAATCATAGCTCACCAAAGACTATACCTCCTGGCTCAAGCAATCCTCTGCCTCATCCTCCTGAGTGGCTGAGTCTACAGAGGCAAGTCATTATGCGTGGTTAATTATTTATTTATTTATTTATTTATTTATTTTTTTGTAGCGATGGGGCTTGCTTTATTGGCCAGGCTGGCAAAAATATTTTTTAAGTTGTACATGAGCCAACATTGAGGATAAAAATTAAAAATCAGCAGGTCGACTTTAACTAATGGCTACCAGTTTGCAATCTTTGATTTTAAGAATTAGGTGTGGGTTGATTTAGGAAAAATGGGATCCAGCCATATCTGGCTTCTACCTGGCTGGAGTGGATTATCAAACTTCTCTGAGACTCAAGTTTCCTCATCTTGTGATGAGATTTTAGAATTCAATATTCCTGGCTGGGCACGATGGCTCACACGTGTAATCCCAGCACTTTGGGAGGCCAAGGCGGGAAGATCATGAGGTCAAGAGATTGAGGCCATCCAGGACAACATGGTGAAACCCTGTCTCTACTAAAAAATAAAAAATTAGCTGGGCGAGGTGGCATGTGCCTGTAATCCCAGCTACTTGGGAGGCTGAGGCAGGAGAACCCTGGAGGTGGAGGTTGCAGTGAGCCAAGATCATGCCATTGTACTCAAGCCTGGGCAACAGAGTGAGACCCCATCTCAAAAAAAAAAAGAATTCAATATTCCTTCCAACTCTTGACAGTCCATGCCTGTGTTTTAGAGCAGTAATGTCATGTGTGGATATGTTGGCTCATGAATATGTCACCGCTTTTGCATTCAAGACAGGAAAGTGTGTGGATGTCCTTTTTGCTGGGAGGTAGGAGGTTCCAAAGGAGTAACGTGACTTTACCTTTCCTCCTTGTATTAGAAACAGCTGAGAAATAGACCAGGAAGCCAAGTGAGAATTAAACTATGAGATGTGCTCTTTTGCTGACAAAGCTGAATAATGACTGCCCATTCAATCTGTGGTCAAAATAGGGGTCGGGTCATTACCTCCTCCCCACCTTTAGGCCAAAGGATCTGCCTGTGGGCAGAATTCGGGCTGTAAAGAATAGAACTTTACACCGACAGCCATACTGAGGACCTGGCCTTCTCACATAGTGGGAGCATCATTCACACACAGTCAGTTTCTAGCACATCCCACCTGGGCCATGTTCCAGGTGTGCTCACCTGGCCCAGTGACTCTGGAAAGCAGGAGATGAAAGGAAACCTGACTCTCTACATGCAGACAGATCATTGAGCAACAAACTTCAGAGGAAGCAGGGCTACTGCCAGCCCACATGATGCCTTTGTAAGAATTAGAAAAAGCTGCCTCCTCCTCTGGGCAGACACTGCTACATCAGAGCGCATGGCTTAGCAAGCAGGAAATGAATTATATTTCAGCCCAAAACTCATCTACCCTGCTGCACAACCACAGTGGCAGCTTGGGCGGGGGCTCCCACTTTATGGCTGAGGATGGGACTACAAGATGAGGGCCTTGAGTTATTGTCATAAGTTCTGTGGCTATGCTGTCCAGCATGGTAGCCACTAGCCACATGTGGCTATTGAAATTTACATTCAAACTAATTAAAATTAAACAAAACTAAAAATTTCACAGCTCAGTCTTACTAGCTTCCTGTAAAGTGCTCAATAGGCTGGGCACGGTGGCTCACGCCTGTAATCCCAACACTTTGGGAGGCTGAGGTGGGTGGATCACTTGAGGTCAGGA